AGCCATCTGACCTAAAGTCTCTCCGTCGGCAAAGTAGTGTCGAGAGCATAAGTGAAAACAAACCATCTCACGATAAAAAGCAAGATGGTCATAAATATCAATACTCACTGTAATATTATAATAGTACGTAGTAATCATTCAAATAAATCTCCTACTTTGTAGTTATATATCTTGTTTCATTTGCAATCACTACATTTTATGCCCATTTAACATAAGATGACACCTTTCTTGCCCTTCGTTAGAATTTATATTCTAATGATCTATCAAATAATATGTGGACGTGCGAAATAGAGTTTTGTTGAATTCACTGTTTCGTTTCATTATTTGGACTATTTTGAATGTTTGCATCCGATTTCGCTTGATGCCTTCGCAGATCTAAATAAGGGCTCTTTTAGTTTAAATGTTTCGTGTCGAACGTTTACTACACATCTGCCGTGTCGCTAGTTCTACCGGGGCACGGGAGCCAATTATGACCACTGGCACAGTGAACATGCGTTTTATTTAGTTAGTCCATATTTGTCTATTATTGCCTAGTTATTGCTTGCATTTTTAATTTACGTGTTGTAATCTTATACATATAATATAACTGTAGAAGTATAAATTCTATACATTGAAAATATGAAAAAAAATAATAGTAGGGAGTGTTACTAAATAGACACCGAAACTAAAATATGAACTAAAAGTTTTTTGCCTATCTGCATTCACACATCACGCAAAACCTTTTTTTTATGGAATATTATTAGAGCGTATTCCTTTTTAAAAGGCGGGCAACGCACCTGTGACTCCTCCGGTGTTGCGGGTGTCCATGGGCGGCGCTGATCGCTTACCATCAGGTGATCCGTCTGCTCGTTTGCCTTCTGTTCCATAAAAAAACTACCACCGTCCGATTACAATGAAACTTGGTATGGTTATACTTTAACCTGAAAGTCATTGGGGGAGGCCTATGTTCGGCAGTGGACGTCCTGTAGCCGGTATGATGGTGATGATTCTGGGCACAACACTGGGTACTTTGATCCCAAAAAAGTATATATACGAATAAACAATAGTGCGGCTTAATTCCTAGACACAATTACTGTACCAAAAGCAAATACAAGTTTGTCGAATGTTAGGTTGCCCGCAGTGGACTTTACGCTGTAATTGTAGGGCTGATGGTTAAAATTAGATTGAACCGGTATTATAAATGTGAAAATATGTGAGTATGTCTATTTTTTACTCAATCACATCAAAACGGCTGAAGGGACCGAGAAGAAATTTGGAACAGATTTTGGTCTGAAGTAACATAGGTACTTTTTACCCCTCGGGAACGCAGGTGACGCCCCTGGCAAAGGCTAGTAAATAATAAATTATAATAGAAAACATATTTGATTGATTGATTTCAAAGGCAGAAAATTGTCTTTAAATAATACTTATATAAAAACATTTATTACTTAAATAGAAATAAATGCAAATAAAATAAAACATAAGGTTCCCTGATATCATTGATGAATTATTACAATAGTTCTTAGTACAAACACAAACATGAAACCTAGCATAAAGCAACACGGATCTGCTGAAAGGCACGAGGGTAGCAGCTGGACTGACCGTGCATCCTTCATCTGTCCTAGAAAGCATGCGTTCAATACTTGCATATCTACCAGAAGCAAAGCTACGTCCATGCGCCGGAGGATATTGCCTACATCCTCTTTCGCTATAATAATGACCAATATCTAAAAACCTTTTAAAACAGCCACCGATAAACGTTTTACCTGAACACTTAGTCTTGTAAGAACGCATTTTATACTTGAGTGATCTATCTGTATACTCAAAAACCTTGTAACAATTATCAGAAGTATAATCAATTTCATCCATTCCGCATGTATAGCATTTATCTGTTTTATTTCCAATAACTGACATTAAATACATTGAATCAAATGATGACTCATTTCCCACAGAAATAGTAGGAGTAGGATTCAACAAATTTACATGAAAAGGGTCGTCTGCTGTTGAAACAGGTTTATAATTTTTAAATATATCAGAAGGATTTTCGTCGTCATCTTTCATATTCATGGGATAGGGTTTCTGGGAATCAGTAAATGTAAATTGTTGATAATGTGACCTATCAGTGGTATAATCTCCTTCCTGATGCAGCGTATCAGTTGAGTACGCTCCTTCATAGTGTGGTCGATCATTAGAATGGTAAGGGTTATCACTAGATGAGGTCATATCATTGGAATAGCCTCCTTCAAAGTGTAACCTAACATTAGAATATGATTCTCCATGATATGGCCTATTAGAAGAATGAACTGATACAGGATGCGGTCTATTAGTAGAATTAGCTCCTTCATAATGTGGTTTATTATTCATATAACCTTCTCCATGGTATGGTCTACTAGTAGAATAAACTTTTTCATGGTATGGTTTGTCAGTAGAATAAACTTCTTCATGGTATGGTGTATCCGTAGAATAAACTTCTCCGTGTTGTGCTCTATCAGTAGAATAAATTTCTGCATGGTATAGTGTATCAGTAGAATAAACTTCTGCATGGTGTGGTCTATCAGTAGAATAAACTTCTGCATGGTATGACCTCTCAGTAGAATAAACTTCTGCATGGTATGGTCTATTACTAGAATAAATTTCTGCATGGTATGGTCTATCAGTAGAATACATTTTTACGTGGTATGGACTATCAGTAGAATAAGCTTCTACGCGGTATGGTATATCAGTAGAATGAACTATTCCGTGGTATGGCTTATTTGTAGAATGAACTCTTCGAACCTCGTCCATTTCTATGAAATAAGGGTGTTTATAATTAGTTATTTTGTATAGAGTTTTAGTGGAAAGATTGTCGCTTGTATCATAAAAAGTCTCAAAATTTTCATCATCTTGCAATGAAAATAACTCTGTTGGTATACTTTTGGAACTATGTTTTTTTTCTGAGGCATAGAACTTTCTAGATTCAGTCGATTTGAAGTTCTTCGATTTTTTATAAGTCGGCACTGATGCAAGTGAATCATAGTCTTTTGTTTCTTCGAAACCACTTTCACTGATATATTGTTTTGCTAACAAAGATTTTCGATAACCTAAAGATTCTTTGGAAGTCTGCATATATTTTTCACGTTCTTCAAAATTATATTTTCTGTACTCATTATCTTCATAAGACGTATTTTCAGAGGGTAAAGTTTTTCGATATTCTTCTAGTTCTGTGGCAGGTTCTTCAAACTTGCCTCTTATTCTATCTGTAAAATGAAGTCCACCGAACACTTCTTTTTTAGTAGGATGAGCTAAAGTACTTCTTGTTGGATTATAATAATATAGTGTTCTATAGTCTTGTCTCTCTATTGTATGTTCCTTAGATTTTGTTGCATGTTGTTTTTTGTTTTTTAGTTTCGTGGGATATGTTCTTTTGTCATAAATAAGTTCTGTAGATGGTTCTCGATACATTGCTTTATCTTTACTCCTAAATTCCTCCATTTCTAAGAAGGAAGGCTTCTTATGTATCTTACTTTTTGATTTTCGGATTACTTCATCTTCAACACTGTCCATCGAATACGGTTTTTTATACCGCGTAGTTCTATCTGAAGAATAACGACTTTCAAATATTTCCAATTCTGAGTAGTATGGTCTATCTGCTGCATCTGTTACAGAAGGTATATGCATAATATTTCTGTAATTCTCCAAATATTTTAGTTTCTTCTTTGTGTTATCGCGAAAGTTATCATTCATTTTCGAAATGATTGTTGGCCGATTTACTAATATATTATATTCAGATTTTGTAACTGTAGTAGGATACCTTGCATTATGTTGATACTCCATCCTATGTCTACCGAGGGTGCTTGTCCAAAAAGACAATATATCACTATATTCATTATCAACGGATCTCCTGGTGGGAAAATAACTCCTCCATGTCTTTGTAGACCGGGAAGTGGTTACTATATTTGGTGATGTCAAAGTTTCTGTACTACTAGTGATTTCGTCATAATTGGAAAAATGCAATGCCGGCCACGGTTCAAATCCAATCTTATCGTATTTGTGTTGTGTATCTGTGTCAACTCTGTAGGAGTAGCGTATGCTCTTTTTACTTGTATCTTGAATTCTACTCTTTACTGTTCTTGTTACATGAATACTTTTTCCTTTTATCTTACTAGAAATTAAAACCTGTTTTTTTCTTACATCACTATCGATCCTTTCACGAGTACTTTTACGGGGAAATGTGCTCTGTACTGAGTAGTAATAGAATTGTTTATCGGCACCACTTTGTTTGGTAGCAATTGGCTTAGCGAATTCTATTTCGTAATCTTCAGGTAGTATAATAACATCGGTGGTCGCCACATATACGTAAGGATTCTTGAGACGGGCCATTAGAACAGCCTGCATAGGTTCCACACAATATGTCAAGATTATTATAAAATGTACGGCATTAAAAACAAACATTAAAATCATTTGTCATTATAAAAATTATGCTGTAAAATATATCAAAAGGTCCTCATTGTAATACCTATTATCTGTATTATGTCAAACTGACTGTGATGTTTCCATAGATATATTATCATAGATGTTTCCCTGTATCAAGGAATCAATGAGTAATATAAGTATAAGGCCAATAGGGGAGTCCTTTTTTCTACCTCTTTGTGGATAGATACTAAATATTATTAACTGATTAATCTTTTACATGTTTGATACTTCAATCTTACTTTGATCCAAGTCCATATCTCTTTGTTATACTCTTCTTTGACATAAAACTACCCCTATAATTATTGTACTGTTTCCATAAAACATACTTAGAGATACAATCAAGATGATCAAGATTCAATGCAATGACCACTCCTATACTTATGATACTCTTTGGTAATGACCAAAGAGTATAATAAGTACAGTAGAAGTAATGACCCCTATAGTTATTATACTCTTTGAGTAATGACAATCAAATGCCAATCATGTTTGATGGACAAGTTTAAAGATCATATTTTTTATAATATTTGCCTATAACCATTTACATTTTTATTAATTTATTAAAATTGAAAATGTTTGCAAGTATTTTACTTCGATTTTATACATTTTTATACATTTTGTTTATTAACATCGAATGCTCTCTTCTCTCGCGAGTCAAAAATCCAGTTGAACATTTTCCTGAGACAACTCCAATCCCTGTGCTGCCTAAAAATATTTACAGATATGAACCGTATCGGGGTAATATCTCTTTTATGAATTAGAATAAGTAGTTTACTTTTTACTTCTATCTTTTTTCATCCGCAGTTTTAGTTATGTTAATTTTACGTTATGTATATATATATATATTAATAACTAGCTTCTGCCTACGACTTCGTCCGCACAATTTCGTTTTCTACCGTTCCCGTAGGATTTTCAGGACCTTTTTCTGTCATAAGAACCTTCTCTTGAAAATAATAAACACAACAAAAAAATATCAACCAAATCGGTCTAGCCGTTCTCAAATTATGGCGTGACAACAGGAAACGGGTTTCATTTATATACATATAGATATTATTTATTTAAGTGTAGTATTATTTTGATTAAAGTCCAAAGAAGGAGACATTATTGATTTCTAAACTGTTTCTGTTAAATATATTATAATATAAGTACTAATTCAGAATTTACATCAAACAATTAGTTAGTAATATTATATAATCATTAAAATAGACCTGTCAGTAATGTTGTAGATATTATAAGTCATGGTGGAAGCTAAAAAGTATGCATATATGATAAAATACGGTGCACGAATCTTCATCATTAATCTCGAGTACGCTTGCCTTCGACCATTGTTTTTGTCTCTGTATCGCCCGAAGGTCTGGCTGGAAGAGCATGTCCTTGGACATGCTCTTCCAGCCAGACCATATGCTGTATGCTCATACAAGATGGGTTTAATGCCAAGGCATTAAACCTTTTGAAATAAATAAAATAAATCTTCGTTTCCATTTACAAAATAACGCAAAGCACAAAGAGATAATGCATCACATGATAAAAAAAGCACATGAGATATACTCATAAATACCTAATATAATGCGGTAGCCAATACCTTTCTCATGCATACCATAGATTCCACGAGCCTATGGTCAGTAACGTACTCCTAGCATTAAGTAAATGACTTACCTAATATAAACACAGTCATGTATTCTAGGCCACAAAACCCTTTGGGCATCTACTTGGACATGCTCTTCCAGCCAGACCATATGCTGTATGCTCATACAAGATGGGTTTAATGCCAAGGCATTAAACCTTTTGAAATAAATAAAATAAATCTTCGTTTCCATTTACAAAATAACGCAAAGCACAAAGAGATAATGCATCACATGATAAAAAAAGCACATGAGATATACTCATAAATACCTAATATAATGCGGTAGCCAATACCTTTCTCATGCATACCATAGATTCCACGAGCCTATGGTCAGTAACGTACTCCTAGCATTAAGTAAATGACTTACCTAATATAAACACAGTCATGTATTCTAGGCCACAAAACCCTTTGGGCATCTACCCATACAAGTGAAACGACTACACAACGAGAAGATCTACCACGACCTACGAGGACGTATTCCCCTCCTAAGAAACCACAAAATTACAAGGCGACGCCTCGCGATGATACCAAGACGACAACGAAACGACATTTTTGGCATCATTTTGATGATGCAGCAGAAGAATGGCCAAAAGTTGTTTTGATAACATCAAGCACGCCAAGATTAACAACTACAAAGGCAAGAAAAAAAGTATTTCCAACTTACTTCCCTCAGTTACGTTTATTACCTATAGAACAAACTGAGACAGAAATCAAAGACGCTGATAATGACGAAGAACAAAAATATGTCGTTGGAGGCGAGAACAATGTTACAAATTACATAGGAACAGTTACACGTACATTAAATTACGAGCCAGAAATTGAGGAAGTGACAGAAGATTACGATGAAATGCGATTGTATTCGGTTACAGAACCCATAAATACTACAATTTTCATTCATCTTCGTACTAAAAGCAAAGGCAGGCAAGGAGGAGTAACCACTACTACTTTTAATACGGGTGAAACCGTTAAACAGACGACGACAGTCAAAACATCATCAACTGTAAGTACATCGACAGCTCGATCCACTCCTGGAACACAAGACCAAAAACTGGTTGCAGCCGTTGTAAGGAAATGCTACCAGTGCGGCTTGAACATTACCGATATCCCAAGACCACCAACTTGTCACCAAATTTTTGACAATGCTAAACGCCATTATCAATATTTAAAGGCAGGACACAAAGTTGTGTGTAAAGGAAAGGTGTGGACTAAAGGTAGTAAGAAAGTTAAACGATCGCATGAATTTGATGTACACCCAAGGAAGCTTTACAAAGGTTATTGTTGTTACCTTATAACATATTGTAGCTCATACGAGTCATTCAGTTACTGCGGGTTCGTACGATTTTGTTTTCATCATCAACTGCCTATAAGTGGCCACTGCAGACCAAAGCCAATGGCCTATTCTCGCACGGTTTGAGCATTAACCACCAGGCTTGCTCAATGCGGGTTGGCGATTCCAAATAATTAGAAATTATAAGTCCAGGTTTTGTCACGATGTTTCCCTTCGCTGCCAGTATGCCAGTGATGTATCTTATAAAGTTCATATTATTATCATAACTCGGAAAAAGTCAGGCGTTCGGCGCTCCGATTGGCCGGCTCTAACGAACCAACTAATCAGAGCGCTGAACGCGGTCTCGTTTAGATAACTTTAAACGTTAAACAAACTCGTAGTACGGCCTTTATTTATTGTGATAGTTACACCGTACTCGTAGTATCGGCGAGCATGGGTGGCTCGCCATCCGACCAGAACCAGACCCGAATGTGCGGCGCGTCACGTTCCGCGCGCGCCTCAAAGAGCCATCAGACCACCAGGATGGGTCCCAATAGGGCTGATGTCCCAATACGGAGCCGCGGAAAACCTAACGGATTATTGGGCTCCGGGTCGATGTGCAGGAATAGGAATGGGGTGGATTTTAGTCATTACGACTCTGACACTCCCTCCCGCCTCACCCAGGCGGGAGAAGTCAATCGATAATTTTCTCTCCTTAAAAAGAAGTATAGTATACAAGTTACTATATAACTTTCCAGTACAACTAGCCTTTATTATAAGTACATGTAATTTCTTCAGCCACTTAGTTGACCACTTAGTCGACTTGTTCACCTAAACTGTATCGAACCCCATTTAGTGTTTCGTCTATTGTATGTTTTATGATGATTAGTAAAGTATTAGTTAAGTTTTAACTATACATTTTCATTTCTAGAGGGTTGTTTCAAGCGATTTCTTGACGTCGGCGAAGTTTATGATGAAAGGGGTTGCCGAACAATGCCGCCACAACTGGGAAAGACTTTCGCATCCGATAGATTCATGAGTCTTGAGAAGTCTGCGCATGCAATGACCGACGGTTGTGTCTCCAGCCCACATGCTTCCTTGACACCCTTCAGCAGGGGTGTCTCCTTGTACGCTCGATATCACGTCTGTGTGTGTAAAGAAGACTATTGCAACAATGCACAAGATAGCAACAAATCTCTGGGTCTACTTATTATAAATATATTTACAAACATATATTTTAATACGTGAAATGTGTCACGCACCTATGAGTCAACAACACCTGGAACACCTGGAATTTACCAGTCACCTATGGATCACACAACGATTCAAAAAATCATAGATATACACATATCATCAGTGTGACAAAAATATTTTGACACCGAATGTTTTGAAATGTTTTTTATTATTGTTTATGATATTTGTTTTTTTTTGATGCCTTGTATTTTGTTTTGTATTATTTCATTAAACTTTTATTGAAATACATTTATGAAATCTATCTACAATGTCGATTTTGACGAAGATATGTACATGGTTGCACCCAAGGAGGCCGTTGTTTGTCAGCTCACACTTATGCTTGGTTCGCACTATGCTAGTATTTTAGTCGAGCAGCGAGTGTTTAGTATAATCCCTCTTGCTTCTATCCCAAAATCGAAGTGAGAGTGAGTTCCTAAATACTCGCTACTTGACTAAATACTAGCATAACGCGAACAAGGCATTAGCGCCTGTTTCACAATCTTTAATAAGGGTATAATTAGGTACCCGATGAACTCACGTGACAGATAGTTCATACAAAATATGTTCTTAATTCAAAGGACAGTGGGCTAAACATACTCAGCGCCACAACAGTTTAGACTACAGCCATGGTTCACAGTGTCAAAGCGCATTAAATTCTGTCCCGGCGTTCTCTAATTATATGCATGTTTTTGTTAGGTCGAGATGTAACGAAGTACGTAATAAAATTTAAGAACCTCTTTTACACACAACACACTTAGTTGTCGTATTGCCATGAAAGTTGTTAATCATATGACCTCATAATATTGATGGAATTGGAAGGTCGCTGATGGATCCTTCAGATATCTACTAGTAATCATATCGAGTTTGGGCCCATTACTACATAAATATGTATATATGTCTGTTTTTAGAGCCCATATACTTCAAAGCACCTTATTAGTGTTTTAAAACTATGAATAGTACACATTTATAAGATTAACTAACATATCTTACTGAGTATGAGCTTAAAAAACGAAAAAGGTGCGTTTACTCGAATGTCCTTCTCACCAGGAGCATAACTGACCAATCTCCAAGCGGTCACCGGTGGCAGCTCTCCAATAACCACATTATAGACCTTATTTTCGATGTTTAGAGACTACTTTTGTATGAACAAATTTTGGGGATTTTCGGTAACCGTACCAGGTACCGTATATATCGATATCAAAATATATTATACATTATATTACATTAGGCGTATACTCACTACATCCTATACATTATATTACATTAGGCGTATACTCACTACATCCTATACATTATATTACATTAGCAAAGTATGTAATGAACAATAACATTCTTAATACTTCTGACTGAAGAGATATTTTAGTGTAATGAACCGATTGAAGAGATTTACTAAGAGCAGCTCAGGCAGACATCACTAAACGGAGCCTCTACGACTATTTATATTTAATAATCGGGCTTCATTTTGGATCTTTGTTATCGAATAACAGCCAAATCGCAGGATACAGAAAAAACATACGACCTACGGTGCGTGAACGCCCGGCGCCCGGAGAGTATTGACTTATACACTATCATCAAATTCTTGTTAAATATAGGCCTCCTATAATATCTTTCAGATCCAAAGGTTGGAAGCGACCTGCATCCACAGGTCTCCCGTGACGTGACCTTTTCTATGTTGTCTATCCACCTTGTGGTTGGTAATGTACCTACAATGCTGGTAATTAGAAATGATCAATGTGAATTACAAATTATCACATACCTTGATACTCACTTTCCACATGGTCTTTCATATTTTTAAACAAGTTTTTTTTTATTTCGTATCCATTCCTACATTACAAAATACATTCCACTTATTAAAAAAAAAATTGCTACCGTATTTGCATTTTAATAGCAAATTTAATATTGATACAACTGAAGCTGGACAACAAAAAGCTGCCGACCGCTCAATAAGATCCCTAGCTAATTCATTGACGAAAAAACGCCACCCCTATTCACGGTGCGCGGCATTCGGCGACGGGCCGCCGTCGGCGCAACATGGCGGTCGCAGGCGCATTAATAACGTTCCTTATACTAATACACACGGTCCTCGTACACACAGAAGTTTTAACTCCGAGATATTTTAACTTAGCGTCTAAAAAGAAGATTACGGCCACGGCTACATGCGGAGATGAAGGACCAGAATTATATTGTAAATTAGTTGGTGCTAACGCGGACCATGATGAGCATGTGATTCAAGGACAGGTGAGATTGTTTATATTTTGTTTGTGATTGAGATTGAGACTACCTTTCGGTTATATCGTGCTTTGCATACTGAGCAAGCTACATGTTTATAAGTATTTTAGCATTGTGTATTCTTGCACTGTTTTGTGTAACACGGCCCTTCTGCACCTTTTTTATTATGGTACCTATATATTTCTTTGAAGAGATATAAATTGATTGGGTTTTTTTTTCATTTCAATCAATTATCACCTTTGAGAACTTGATTGTAACTTTTGAGCAATTGGTTGGACCCAACATTTTAAGATGTATGTTTGGTATTGATATTTATCGTTTAAATTTTATAATTTTCATGACTGTAGTCGAATTTTATCGAGGTGACTGTTTTATGCGTATGGTGTATATACAGTAGCATATTATTTTTCGTAAAAGCATATCATATTACTTGGATTAAATTCTATTTTGTTTTGAAAATAGACATTCTGTCTGTTTTATCAAGTTTATAAGGTTTTATATTACATTTTAACTGTGTCGTACTTTAGTATAGTTTTTATGTGCCATAGCGAGTAAGGGTCATGCAATTATAGTGCTTATCCGCACAAAGCAAAAATACGAATTAGGTCAAATTGCAATGCAAAGTTTATTTTTCATTATTATTGGCCTATTTTATCTGTATTAACATAGACCATGCATTTCTACAGACATATTTACATGGTACTTTTTGCCTGTTAGTTGTGAGTTGGTATGGTTATAGACTACTGAGCTGACATTTCACAGAGGTCTTTTAAGACCCGTAATAAATACAATAAGTTAAAAATCGACTCAAAAATTATTTGTTAGATGTTTCAAGCGCAATGGATATATACTACCATTGCAAGTCTTAACAGGCAAAACATCAGACCACCACCGATAAGGCCCAATAGGGCTGATGCCGATACGGAGTCGCGGAGAACCTAATGGGTTACCGGGGCTCCGGCTCGAAATGAGGAGTAGGAACGGGGTGGTTTTTAGTCGGTACGAGTCTGACACTCCCTCCCGCCTCACCCAGGCGGGAGCAGTAATTCGATGATTTTCCCATCTTAAAAAAAGGTTAAATCTTTAGAAAACCAATAAAAACATCTAAAGAATGGTCCTAAAGACGAGTTTCAAGTTGCCAAAGGATTTTTAGATTTGGTAGTGGCAATGGCAATGACTTGCAAGCAACAATTGAAACTTTTCTAAGGTCATAAATAGAGACCGACGATACGCAGTTTCAAAAAGTGTAAAAAATCTTGAATGACACAGTTCGCATTGCCTTTTTTGTGTTATGTCCTAAATAATTCACTGTATTATAATTATTGGATACAGTGTAGAACAGCTACCGTCTGATAATACACTGATAAGCTATCTGCGTTCCGCTGCCCCAGCGTCCGTTTGATAACGGGTTCGATGCTCTGGCAGCAAAAGCTCTAAAACTTATGTAAACTGGGATGCTGTTGTGAAATGGTTATTGTGTGATATAGAGGTAGTAAAGAATTACGCAGATTACGTAAACTATGGTGGGTAAGGAACAGGGAGATTAGATAATAGACTCGGGAGCAAAGAACCGGGGTTACTTGCGTTAATTATTTATCATGTATTGTCTCTATAAGTTTTTTCTGATACTAGTAACTTATTAATTGGTAACGTATGTCGTATAAAAGGCTTTTTGGTTACCTTTAAAATAAGAGTACTTTGTTATAAATGGATATTTAAAGAAAACGGTCAATAAACTAAAAATAACCGCTCGATTGCTTCTAAGAGCTCGGTGTCACAGGTTTAAACAAAATTATTCATTAAAACAGTATTAAGCTTAATAGATACCTAACATTATTAAGCTGTTTACAATTTTATTATGGATTATATACCTGTGACCATTACCTAAGTTATATTTTGTTATGGGTTTGTAGCACCGACTTCTAACCAATACAGACGAATTGAGAACCTCCTCTTTTTTGAAAATGAAAATAAATCTGCTAGTGGCGTTGTTTCCCTGCTCCCCATTATTGTAGGTACATATTTAGGGCCTGTTTTGCAGTATCTAGATAGCCGCTATGTACTAAATAATAAGAACGTAATTCGTATGATGTGTCTTATAAGTTTATTGGGTACTTATATGAAGGTGTTGAAACAGACACTTAAAATACTTAGGTACCTCGTTAATAGGTAATGCTTATGACCAAAGCCTACTTGGTCTTAGATTGTCACTATCGTATTCTTTATTACTTTGACACACTTTGACACACAATGCATGTGTGTAATAACTGATTGCCGAAAACATGACTGCCGACTAAGAGTTTTTGGTTTCGATTTCCGAGTCGGGCAAAGTAGCATTGTACTTAACTTGGTTTTTCAAAAAAAAATCTGTAAAAGATATAGTCTGGAACTGGCCTATGACCATAGGCTCAAACTCTATAGGACTCATAACCTAACTAATGATATTGAGTACATTGTATATCTCTGTCTACGCCGTCGGGTATAGAGTATAAAGTCGTGACGTCATACTAAAAAAATATTAATATAAAAATGTCAAGTAGGCCACAAGAATGAGAGTCGGAATACATATTTTGGGTAAATTAGGCAGTGATAAGTAACGGTCGTCGGTAGTTAATGGAAACGTTATCTAGTAAACTTTGAACCGTTTATCTGTTCGAACGTTTATTTTTGAATGGGTTATTGTACTTACATTGATTCATTCTGTCTCTACAGTGAATGAAAAGTAAAATAATAGTTTGTAGTTTTTAATCCCTGTATAAATTATTATGTTTTCGGCTTACTCACGTAATAATTTGATGAGGAACTCGACTAGTTTCAAGCCATGTTAGAGGCTCATATTCATGAGCAGCATTTCGCGACTCGCGACGCGTCGC